TGAAGACCTCTTCCTCCCCCACCTCTGCTCAACAATAAAATTCTGGAGAAAAACCAGAAATTTTTCGGGAAAAGCTGGAAAACGTGGTAGGAGCTTGGGAAACTCTAGAAAGTGGTAGGTAGAATGAGGCGGAGGGGAGGGTAGTATTCTTCAGGGCTTATCAGAAAGCGATGGCACACCCTGCCTAGCAATCCTTTCTTCAGGCTTATGCGAACATTCACCCTCTTCGCTTATAATCGGTACCAACTTGCAAAATTGCATGCAATTCAACATTTGAAAATTGGCCGAAAGAGCATAGAAATGATGCTCTTATCAACCGAAGCTTGTGCCCCTCTCTCGCAAGCTCGCACCAATTCAGTTACAAGCTGCTGGGTATTCGACATGGAACTGCTGATATCGCGTTGCTTGTCATATCGTTCGTATGAATCAAGTAGGCTACTCGCAGTCTACATGTATGCCCCTCCTTCCCCGAGCGACCTGCGCCACATATTATGTGGGTGAAACAAGAAGGCACTTGGGGCATGATCGTTAATCCTAATACGCAAGGCTTTAATAACATTCCGAAATAGCACAATCGTGTCTGAACATTACGCCATGGCTGGATAGCTGTCAACGCGCATAGTTATAATACTCTTCATCTTGCTAGAAGTGTCCAGCCACTGCGCATACATGTCCCATGGAAAGAAAAGGTATGTTGCACCCACACCATTCAGTGAACCACTTTGATATTTTCTAGGGCTGCGGCCAAGGCACGCCTAATCAAGTGCGCGGACGTCGCGACTCGCGACGCGGCTGCGGCGTGTCACGAGCGTAGCGATCAGCTGTTTTCTGCCTATTTTAGCCCCAGCTTTTCTCATGAATAGTTGTTCCTTGTCTTCACAAGGTAAATTATTGTAGATTCCTCTGATCTTTGCATACAATTAAAGACAGCCCCCGCGCTCAAGTAAACATAGTCGTCCTTCCTTGTGCAGGTAGTTCAGCCCCCAAGCTAGATACTGTCCCACTCTCGCGACTCCACAGTGAGCGAGGAGC